AGATGGTGAAATAAGTCAGCGGCAAACAGAATCATCGTGCAGTTCAGGAGACATGGTAAGGAAACAACTGAGCAGCATCCGTGTCGTCCTGGTCCATCGGAGAGGACAAAAATGGCTGTCAAGAGGAGCATCGAAATGGATCCCAGACTAACGACTGCAGAAGTGGCCAAAGTTGGTGGGATGAGCCCAAAATCTGTTCAACGGATTCTCCACAGACTGGGTTATCGTTGCAGAGCAGCTAGACGGAAGCCCTTATTACGACCTGCCAACATAGTCAGACGAAAGAAGTGGGCAAGTGATATGATGACCAAGCTTCTGGACTTTTGGAAGACCGTATTGTTCTCAGACGAATCAAGATACGCTCAATTTTCGGACAGTGGAAGAATATGGGTCTGTAGAATGCCTCACCAAGAGTTTTGGCTCAACAGATTGCAGCCAACTGTGAAGCATGGTCGTTTCAACGTGATGGTTTGGGGAGCTGTTTGGCTTGGTGGGAGATCGAGCTTAGTGGAATGCGTTGGCAACATAAATTTTGCGAAATACGTCGAAATATTGGAGGAAGGACTCTTGCTACTTTATTCCTCGGGTTTCGTGTCACTCTGCTAGAAACACCCAAAAGTGGCGGGAAGAAAATGGTATCCAGAAGTTGGCCTGGCCGAGCCAATCTCCTGACATGAACCCCATCGAAAACCTCTGAGCCATACTCGACCGACAAGTCAAGAAACAACCAAAAAACCAACTTCGAATAGCGATCTACTCCATGTTTTGAAGCAAGAGTGGGCGAAACTCCCACAATCTAATATTGACGAGATGATTCTCACGATGCCCCAAAGGCTCAACGGACTCCACGAAGCGAAAGGAAGATCTACTAGATATTAATTAAATTATAAATATATCAATTCATGTGAATATGACGGAAAAATTTCATTTTTTCTGAAAAGGTGGTATCTATTTACTTGTGACCACACTGTGTATATATAATAAGTTTTCAGAATTTCCAAACTGTCAGACATATTATATACAAATTACCATTAAGAATTTCAGTGAAGAAACTTGCCTTGAGACTCTTACTACATGTTATATGTACAAGCATATATTTTCCAAAGTTATTTTCTAATGTTTATCTTTTTGTTGGAAATAAAATCATATTGTGAAATTTGTACTTTTCTGTACTATTAGGTATTTTGAAATTAATTATATAAATATAATTCATTAAGTCCTCTAGTTGACCTCCTTTCTAATCATATGGCCTTCAACCTGCTGACAAAAAAATATGAAAATTATTCAAAACTATGTTGTTCCCTACTGCATGGAACTCTGAAGCTGGTAATTTCCACACAGAAGACAACTTTTGAAAAACCTGTAAATACACCTTAGTAAATTAGCTGAGTCTTTATACGTACGGAAAATAATGACTAAGGTCGATATGGGTGCGATGCAAGTGTCGTTGAAATAATAAAAATGGAAAAGCAAACGTCCAAACATTTTAGTGACAATAAAACTTTAGATTAATCAAACGGTTATATTTATCTCTAAACACTCTTTTCTTACTAACATTTGTCATACCCGTGACAAATATATATATATTTGTAAACATAATTCGATAGATAAGAATTTTACACATTTATAATTTATGCTTTCAATGTTGTACTACGCTTATGTAAAATGACAAGAATATCGATTTTATTGTGATAGTGTGCCAAATAGATATGTACATTGTGGGATATAAAACACGTGGATTACTAATGCTTCTGTTATATATTAAAGAATATTCAAAGTCTAGGTTTTATACTCGTTTGTTTTAAAGGATTCAAAGAAGAAAAGCTACACAAGGCTATTTGCGCATACATTGTAAAAACAAGTGTTAACCATTTAACACATTTATGAACATCGCTTAATATACACGTTAAGGTGTTAATCTTAAAACGCTCTTGTTAATTGTTTGTTTGTAGTCAAGCACAAAGTTACACAATCGGCTATCTGTAGTCTGTCCACTACAGGTATCAAAACCCGATTTCTAGCGTTGTAAATCCGCAGACATACCGCTTTGCCACTGGGGAGTGGTAATGTTAATATCAATTAACACTAGTGTTGTTCCAATATATGTAAATTTTAAAACAAGTAACATGTTAAAAATCGTGCATCAGATAATTCACACGTTTACATGTTTATTTCAGAAAGGTGTTATTAGATTAACACTATAGTGTTAATAATATTGTGAGATGATTAACTATTTGGTATATTGATTTACGTATGGTGCTACTGCAAGAAAAACAAAGAAATAAATTTGATATTATGACTTTATTTGTTTAAACTTCAGGTACACGTATAGTCACATCCACAAAGCCTTGATAAAAACTGAATAGATGTAATTTACTCTGCAGATATGACATTTTATTTGAGTGAAGTACAAATATTAACACTAATTAAACAATCTCTCTAAATTACTAATTTGGTGTTTCAGAAGATCTTGATATAATCTCTGAAAACTGCTTCCAGTTATAACCCACCTAGTGTTATGTAATTCCCAAAACTTGTGAATAAATGGTTGGATATTCTAAATCAAACACATAATATGTCGCAATTAATAACATCATTGCATCAAAAATATTGCTGGTTTGTCCAAAATTCTTTATGTTGTCACCAACTTCCTCCAGACTGTTTGTAAATACAAGATGGGGTACCTCCTCATCTGCAGAGTCCGAATGTTTTTGTGGGATTAAATCAACATGATCAGTGCTCTAAAAAACAAACAAAAAAGGATAAATATAATGTAATAATGAATATCGCAAAATATAATTGATGGTAATTTTTCTTATTGTCTATGTACTTTTAATATAAAACCATAGTATTAATTATTCAGCCATCTGGGATTTTTTAAATGTAAAATTGGCTTGCATCATTCCCTTGATTCCTATTAATGTGCAAAATATAAAATGCACATTTCAAAACATTTATAAAAGTGGGAGCATGAATTGATTAATTGGTGCTATATGCACTTTCCACTTAATTTCAGTTATATCGTGATTGAGAGGCTGAAATCCATTAATAACATGGAAATAAAGTTACTAAAATAAACGTAAGACAGAAAATGGCCACCAGTCAGCCATCTTCGATTTTTTAACAAATAAAAAATTTGTTTATTGCTTCATTCCTTTACTGTTTACTATCAATTTCTAAAATATGAAAGGCATATCTAAAGGAATCAATGTACCATAGGAGGTAACATTTGGAAAGTTGCAAAAACATATTAAAAAGCATAAAAAAAAAAGAATTTGGTGTGCACCATTCCGTAATGTCTCCTATCAATATGAAAAGTCTACGTGAAATTGTCAACGAACGTATGGGGGGGAGGGGGGGAAGTTTGGTTATTTTGGATATTAAAAAAAAACTGCATTTATTCTTAAAGATATATTGTAAATCAAAATAGCCATTGCACAAAGTTATGGAACAAAAGATTTTATAGGGAAATTAAAAATACAGTACATTTACCATTTTAATTACTGTTCTTGACCACTGTCCTTTCCATTTCATTTTTCCGACCAATTCCTCTACAAGTCTCCCGCTTATCATACAATCTGTCATGTCAGACCTCTGTAATGAGAAAATATATAGATGAACTAGTTTTCCATAATTTAAGCTGTACCTATATTAGCCAATTATCTGTAAGGTCCAACTCCAATAACCTTAATTTATCTTTACATTATATAAATAATTTCTGATGAAATGGTTGAACTTTTAACAAAATTGACATCTTAGCTTAACTGCTGATGAGTTTTTGCTAAATGTCTTAATAAAATACCCACCTTATCAATGTCTAAAATTATATTAAATTAGAAGATTTTTAACAGATAATATTCAAATCTACAAAAATAAATTTTGCATACATACATTTAAATCCTTCTTCAACTGCTCTGCAACCTTTTTCATCAGCCACTCCATTTTAATCTCATTTCTAGCCTTGTCAGGATTGTTGATGTTTCTTATGGTGAAAAATTCATGCAGTACCTTAAATAAATTAATATTTTCTATCAAAAGATAATTCATTTTATTTTAAGCTAAAATCCACATTACTTTTTTTAACTCTACACAAACTGATTAATGTACATATTTATTTTAGTAAAAAAGAACTGTATTTAAAAAAAATATTCATAAAATATATCATGAAATCAGTTGGGTAATTTACTGTGTATTGTGAATGGAACTTCAAATTATGGATTTTTATATAATGTATTATAGGCTGATTGTCTATTTTATTATAGTGCTCAAATTGTTTGGGTAAATTCAAATTTTCAAATATTTCTTTTATGTGTTTCATTAAATGGTTGAAATTTAAATAACTTACAAGACTCACTCTTCAACACAAGGTAATGTTTCTATTACAGGTTGGTTTCAGTGTGGTTTGCCACTGTGCTCTTCTAGAGCGAGTCTCTCTCAATAATGTCCTAATGTGTGATCTGTATTGTCCACCACTACGTTCTCTATTGAGTTGCTCTACATATTTATCAAAGTCTTCCTCATTTATTGGAACAGGGGAAACAACTGATTTCTTTCCAACTTGTCCAACTCTAAACTTCAAGTTTCAGGGAAAAAGCTGAAGGGGATTCTGGAAATGTTTTCTTTGATTTGGTATTTTCCCTCCATCTTGCAGTCCTCATTCTTTGACTTAATTTACTAACAAAGAAACTCTAAAGGCAAATAAAAATAAGCTTGTTTACTCTACTGAGATTAGATAAATTCATTTAAAATCAAGATACTGTTCTTATCACACTAGTAAGATGTATCTTTTTGAGGAATGTTGAAGTAGTATAAAGATAATGATAATAAAAAAGTAGTAATCAGTTTTACCACTTTCCCATAGTCATAAGTTGTTCATGAGAAAAGTAATCTTTCATTCATTTGCTGATTAATTTTTTACAGTGATAAAGTAATTAATTTTTATCATACTAACCCATGGATGTTTTACATCTTCATATGTTCAGCACTTGCCAATGGCATGATAGTAAGATAAATCCAAAAATTCTGGATGTCTTGTCATATAAAATACTTCGCATTATTTTAATAGCTGATTAAATATCATGCTATCTGTCTATTACTCAGAGGTATATGTAGTGATGGAGAGAAGTCTGGCAAAGAAATCTTTTCTGGAGGAAGCATTTCTTCTGAAGGGTAAAGCATCTACATAACAAATAAATAAAAATCAACAAAATCCTCACTGAAAACCACTTTTTATAGTAGGTTAAGGAAAACAGAGATTCAAACATTGTAAACCATCTACTAGTAAACCACTTACGAGATTACAATATACATAAAATAAATATCCCAATACGATAAAATATATAAAACAATCGATGATTAATTCAGAATTTGGTAATCATACCATCACATACTTTTTTCCAAAAATTTAACAGAAGTCAACAAATTGACACACTTATAATTATAATATAATTATCAATAATAATTATCATACCTGAAAATAAGTGTGTTGTTTCTTTAGAAGATTTTTAACAGTACTTCACAATGATCATAGTTATCAGCTAAAGAACTATCATTTTTCTGATCAGTTTCCAATAATATTCTAGCTTCAGGTTTTTTGTTTGAGTTGTCTCATCCATATTGGTTGTGTTTCTCACATGGACCCATGTATCACTATTATAAAGTACCATAAAAGTATTTCTTTTAAACTCTTCCAAAACCTCATCTTCTTCAACTTCTGTACCGTTCTCTTCTAATACCAGTTTTTCAACACAAAGATCAAGCTTTGTCTTTACTGAAAAAAAGAAAAATAGAATAAATTGCAAGGATATAATCTTTCAAATGACACATGGTACTTGATAACTGTAATGATTTTTACTGTCCACATTTGCCTTCAAAAATAACTATTGCAGTGATCGTGCAGTAAAATTACTACAGGTATGTGTTGGTTTACATAATTTTAATTTTGTAAATATTTTTTTGCATTAATTTCTACTTGGTTGACAGTTTTCCTTAAATATTCTAGTTTAATCAGTATTACTAGCAACTACAATACAATTGAAATATTGTAAAAGTGGCATTATAATCCAATACTCAACCATTATTAATATTATATAGTGAATACCTCCATATGTATGTGCAATATGCATTGTACTTATTTAGTCAATGATGAATTTTAATGGTGATGCAAGTTACCTGCATCTATGACATTCTGAATTGTGAGTTGAGGCACAATAACTCGTTTTCTTCTTTGTCTACTGGAATCCCATACTTTCACAAAAGGAATTGTCTGTTGAATTGCAAAAGTAATCAAAGTCTAATTTTTTGAACACAACTAATTGATAAGTACTAATTGATTGTTACTAACAATACTTTCTTCCTCATAGTTCCTCATACCTATTGATAACATAAAATTTTTCTTGACACTGACAAAGACAGAGTGGCAACTAAATAAGTAAGCTGTGGTAGCTAATAACCTTTAAATCTGTTTCAAAATTCACCTCATATGCTAAAAGATGTTTATTGAAGTTGACTATAGACAACTTTGCCATTAAAAATATTTTCCTGGTTGTTTATCAATATATTAACCACATAGCCAAATTCTGGCAAGTTAGAGTCGTCAAAAGAGTGTGTTAAAATACATCCTTCTTGGAAAGAACATCCATTTATGTCAACCTGCTTTGTAACATTTATGTTTTCTAAATCTGCAAACTGTTCTTAAACACAAAGTTTCTGTGGATCTGGCATTTTATTTATAGCAACTTCTTTCCCTTTTTAATCTCATCTCCTGAGTAAAAAATATTGCCTGATATCTGTCCTAAAGCATTAATCATTTGTCCACACAACCATTTTTGATGAAATCTGGCCATACTAAGAGGAAGTTTTTGAAGCATTACCATTTTTTTTGTTTTTTAAAAAAGCATGTTTACCTTCAAACTGCATACACCATTGAAATCGTCCAGGGCATAATTCTAAAATATGCCTAGGGAAATAACACATGAAATGTATTTTGGGAATAATGACAGCTTTTAGATATTCCATTTTAAATCCCAAATGATGATTTTCAGTATGTTTTTTTTAGATCTCCAGACATCTCTGTTGTAGCACAAGGGCATCTGACCAAAAATGTTATTTGCACCAATGTGGCAGTTTAAAAAATAATTACCATTTTTTTGTCATTTGTAAGAATTTTGGGACCTAATATGAATGACATTGTGCTTATGAGAGTAAGCATTGCAGCTGCGGTTTGTTTAATGTTTATGTCTACAAGGCACTGTTTTCTATCAATTGGTTCTGGATTTAATGCCTCTTCTAAATAACAATAATGAAATGCTAATATTTGAGAATAAAGCCAGTTCGGCATAAAATACTTTTAGTTGATAAAATGAGCTAAAAATAAGGCCAATTCATATTTAACAACACCTTCTATTAAAACATGCATTGGATCGTGTACCGACCAGATAATATTGTCGAAGTCAACTAAGTTAGCAAGGCAGCTTTGGTAATTGATCCCCCATACTGTGTTTCAGTACTTTTCGCATGTTTAGAAATTCCACTTTCCATTAAATTAACCCATTCAATGTATTCATGCATTATGTGTTGAAATTGATCATCTCCAGAGTATGTTTTCATATCAAGTGAAGAGGACAAACACATACGATCCTTTTTGTATACAAAACCAATAACCTCTTTAAAGTCACCTAAACTATTAGAAACTGGTGTATCAGCAGGAGCCATAATAACTACCCCTTTACCAAATAGTTAATTCTCTTCACATTTACAGCAAGTCCCCCTGAAGACATTGCGTTCACTGTTCAAGTAAAATTCTCTAAAAGTTTGCCAATTCCATGTGATTTTAAAAATTTAGTTCTTTCAATTGTAATTGGAACTATTGCTTGAAGTTTGGAAGATTTGTTATCAATTGAGATATCATCTAAAATATTTTCTACGTCTGGACATTCTCTTTCAAGGAGCTGCTGTTTTACCTTTCTTTTTCTACATTGAAAGATGTTGTTCAATCAGACAAACAGTGTTTTCAGCTACGGAACTAACTACTGCTTGTGAAATGTTGTATTTTGACTCAAGAGTCAATAAATAACCTACATGAATATGAGAAAGATCTTCACCATTTTTTAAAACAGAATTTTTGAAATTACGTAATTCATCAGTCTGAATTTCATACTGATCATCTTGAACTTGATCCTTAGCTAATATTCATTCATGATGAATGTTCTTGCAATATCAATTGACATAACTTTTTAGAACTATAACCATAACATCCTACTTGACAATAAATTATGAATCTTCGATCTTTTTTGTGAAGCATTACAATATGGTTACAGGAAGAAGAGAATGGCTTTGTTTCAAATGAATACATAGTGCATATAAAATCGATATTGACAGCAATGCGGCAACAATAGGGAGAACAGCTATAAAATTATGGGTAAAATAGTAACGATTACCTTCCACTGTCAACTCTAGTTGTGTAAACAATCGTAAATCACTGCTATAAAACTGTCAACAGTTTCAGTGCAAATTATAAATAAAAACCATTTATAACACTATTGAAATTTCAGGTTACATTCTTCTTGCTTTTATACGTTTTGATTACACCATCACCGGTTACACAGGGTCTTGGTCTGGCTTTAGGCCTTTATAGACCAGGGAGGGTAAGGTGCACACGTTACCTGTTACATCGATCAATTAGTGCCGGTATTTTACGTCGAAACCTTTAGGGGGGTCAGGTTCCTGTGGAGTTGTTTGTTTCAATTACTGTTAATGTTAATTGCGTATTTACAAGAGGGCCAGAGTTAGTTTGAAAAACACTTTTCCGACTTTTCATAGGCCATGTCCATGTATAACACACTGTTAACATTGGTGTGTAGTGAACACTTCGATGGTGCTAGATCAGTGCGATAGTCCTGCACACTCACTAACAGTTCTGTAAATCACTCACGCACTTTTTACTAATTAAGTCACTATGAGCGTATTTACATAAATACCCTAATAATACAGATTTTTATGGAAATATTTCATTGTCACATGTTGGAGTCTGTTAGATATGTAAGGCATGTTAGAGTACTTATGAATAAATTGGGTTGATGTGCTTCTCGGTACTCTGTATACGGCAGTTAGTATTCTATTTTGGATAATTTGTATTTTATTTATTGTGTTTTGTGATATATTGTACCAAGCTGGACATGCATGTTTCAGTACTGGTCTAATATATGTTGTGTAGATTTTGATAATGTTTTGAGGTGATGTGCCTTTGTTTCTACCTGACAGACTCTTGACATAATAAACACGTTTCCATGCTCTATTTGTTAAATATCCCTTATATATTTTTTTTCCATTTCACTTTGGAATCGTATGTTATTCCCAGGAATTCTGCTGACGTGGCATTCTGGAGACGAGCTCCTTGAAGGTATAGTATTGGGAGATGTTTTGCCATTTTGGATGATTTTGTAAATAATTGTACTTGTGTTTTTGGTTCCTTTGTTTTAATTCTATATTTTTTGGCAGTATTCCTGTAATCTATTTAGTTGTGGTTATCTAGTTAGTTGCTGAACTTAGGTGTTGATGAGCTCTTCCAGATTGCCACATCATCTGCGAATTGTGAAGCGAACCCT